TTATGCAAAGATGAATCAAAGGGTATGCGTATTAAATGTCACATATGTATATCATGGGCCGCTTGCAATCAGAAAAGAACAGAGCAATTATGTGGTCTTACTTGCCTCTCACTGCCCAATACAAACACACTACAGACGGGATACTGTCTAATAGCAAAGTACGATTAAGGGCAGCTCAGGTCAACTACTATAGCTTGGGGGCAAAGGAAAAATAGAGAAATGTTATTTATTTGCTCTGTCAGCACCCAAACCAACCACCCTACTTTCAAGGTAGAAGTTAAAATATTTTCGATTTAAAGCGTGTTTCTCATAAAAAGCGACTAAGATTTATTAGGCACTTATCTGTACTGCTTTGAATTATATTTTGTAGTAGCTGTGTTTTCTCTTGCAGCACTTCACCAAAGGCTACATCTAATACTGTTCAAGTGCATACAACTAAAGTAATTTTGGAGACTGAGTTGTCATTTATAGGTGCATTATCTTGATGCGTATATGTTACGAACATTATGATGCTAAAGTCTTACAGCAGGTAGTTACGTTAACCAATTTCGAATATATCAAACTGCCCAACAATCGCCAGAAGGCGTTTAACAACTATGGTATTTCCATAAGAACTTGGCCGAAGTTAGAAAAATACGAATAAAAAATAAAACCCATTTCATTAAGATGATACAGTTCTTTCCCGCTCCGGAATAGATTTCCTAAAAAAACTAGAATTGAAATTTGAAGTCAACAAATTAGTATAACGTTAGGGAAAATACTTGCATTTATTACGTTCATTTGGTTTTTTCACGCCCAACCTTTTAACAAAAATTACGAGGAACGCAGAATTAAAACGATTTTATAGATAGTTAAAGGGAAATTCCATGTCTGTTCATTCATATGGTCCCTAGCATATATGCCCAAATAAAGGGCTCAAATATATCGAGTCTTCTTCCACGAAACACTACCACTGGTATCTATCATCTCTATATTATGAAGCATTTATGAGTTAGACTGTATCAGAACATCTAAACGACATATAGTCCGTGAAGGAAAGGTACGTCTATGCATACAATGATTACTAAGAATCAATTTACCGATAACTACCAACTCTGTATCTCTAGGTATGCGTATATATTTATCTGTATATCTTTCTATATATATTAGGTATTTAGTTAGACTGTGATTCAAAACATTTATCAGACTTAAAGTCTGTAAAGAAAATGTTCATAAAACGTATTTAGTAGTGCACACAAAGAATGAAAACAATCAATTTAATGGATAATATTAGTAAAATTCATTAATAATTTAAGTCAGTTAATTTTGTTGAATAATAATGTGATAAATTATTAAACAGTCGATGGTTCCTTTATTTAAAATTTTTTAATTTAAAATGATTTACTCTACATTACATTACACGTTGCAGTTAAGTTGTTGTCACATAATAAATTTAACTCTTTAGGCACAGTTGATGGATAATGAGTTGACATTCTTACGAGGTTGGACAAAGAATAAAAAATAAAAAATAACATAAATGTCATAAGCAACATGTTATGAGCCAAAGTACCACGAATGTTGAAATATGTAAGTTTATACCACAAGAGATACAATGCACTATACTACTATATAAGTTTGTATCTGCGTTGTGCTGGACGTATGCGTATACGTAATTGCGTGAATGCGTGAAATCCAGACGCACAATAGAACCTTAAGAGAACGGGAAAGATAAAGCGGCTTTTGTGCAGCCAACAATATGAGCAGTAAATGTTATTTATTTTTTCATTTTGTAACTATTAACCGAACCTCGTGAATGGAAAAAGCGTACATTTTATGCAGTCATGCGAATGTAAATAAAAACTGCACTTTTCCTGTACAAATTAAAAGAAAAACATTCACATGATCGTTTAGTCGGACATAGAAAGACATGCAACACATAATTATCGGTCAGTAGCTGAGCTGAGCTTAAGTACCGTGGAAGCGATTCTTTCAGTTTTATGACACGTCTTACAAAAGATACGTAAACTCAGGCACGGCGCGCCTCACCGCGCCTCACCGCACTGTAACCTAAGCTACTCGTAAGTGACACAATTTATGTGAATATAGAGTTTTTCCACTTCGTCACTGTGAACTCTTTCATTTCTTCCATTCGTCTATCTTTTCTACTTAAAACCAAGCCATGGAAGAAGCAAAAAGCACTGACGGCGGATATTTGGTTTTTATTTTATTACAAATTAAACTTTATATTATGAGCATTTAAATAAAAACAAAAAAGATCTATGCAAATGCCAGAAATGCAGTTTGTATTGAGAGGGAAAAAATAGATAAATTATAGAAGTCAAACAACTATTTTCACTGTTTATTTATTGTTAACTGGAAGGTATTATTTCTTAGGTCTTACATCACATTTGGGCTATGCGTATTCCTATTTCGGCCATATATCTCCGCTGGCCATAGATGGCCGGCCATCCATCGATGGTGTCACTAAACAACTCGTATTTTTTTTTGCTTTGTGAACCTTTCTGAATGCGTGACGAATTATTGTGGAATTTGTGACGCGCGAACGTTTACTTTTTTCTCGAATGTCTGCGGGTTTTAGGCTTTCAGCTCTTGGTGATGGAATGTAATTTGGGAAATGGTTGAAAGTGGCTTCATGGTGCGTTTTTATAAAACAAACATAAAAATGAACATAATTATTGATTACAATGATAAAAATAGAAAACACAAAAGAATAGCTTTATGTATTCTAATTAAGCTTTCAAAATGAAGAGGAAAAGAAAATTCAAAGAAAACAAAAACCGAGAAAAGGTTGAAATTCTTTATTCTAATGAAGATCTAAATCTTAGAGTTGACAAATGTGGAATGGAAATTAGAAAATATGCGGTTTAAGCAACATTAGTAACCCAAAAAAAGTAAAATATATTTATCACACCAAAATTGGTACTTCTAAACTCAATGACCTTTATGATCTTAAGACCCAATTTCCGGTATTCTATATTCTGATTCTCACACAACATAATTTACTATAGATGGCATTTACTGTCGTTAGACCATTAAAAAGCACAATAAATATAATTAATACTTTATAGGTTAGAGGGAAATTTAACTTAATTTTAGAGGAAGTAAGAAAAAACGTAGTACTTGTGTTCAGTTCTTTAAGGAATAAAATGTACGAAAATAAATTACTAATACATCTATACTGAATCAATGTTATAACAACTATATAACGGCTATGTAGTATTTTAAAACTTAAAAATTAACTTTAATTATGGGTCTTATGGTATATAAAGACACTTTCAGTCAATAAATAATACTACTGAGCTTCTGGTGAACACCCAACTCATTGTTGACAACTGTGATACTAAAAATAACATCAATTTAAATATTCAATTAAAAAGTTACCTCGCCAATAGATGTAACTTCCGACAAAGTAAACAATTGAGAAATAAAGTCCTCCCGCTATCGACACACAAGTCATATTTCAAAAGTCTCTTATTATGTCTACCTTTTATATCTCTTGGCTCAAGCCTAAACAACCTTAACAGTTGTATTGAAAAGTGTGAGGTGAAAATTCTTAATAGATTAATGGTGTAGTAGGTGACCTTAATAAAATAGGTGTAAGGAATTGAAGTATCATATTAGAATTTACCAGAGACTACAATGCCGAAAAATTAATTATTAAATTAATGATTAGTTCAACATTTAAGATTAAATAATTAATATACTTCGTTTATATTCAAGTGGTTCAAATTGTTTGAACATTACGTTGCCCAAGTATCTTCAGGTTTCTAGAATTTGAATATTTGAGTTAAACACTTTAAATTTTAGAAAGAACTGAAGTTGATCAAACATCAAATGTTATAATTCATTTAATTTTCATTCACCTTATATAAACTATATAACAACAACTGCAGAATATGTAATAAACCTGGCATCAAGAAAGTCAAAAAAAGAGAGCATACCCTCTTCTTGTCCGGATTTATCAAAAAAAAAAATAAACAAAATTTTTAAAACTGCCATGACTAAATATTCTCACTGATGTTGGTGTAGTTCACATGAAGTTACTGTCATAAAATTTGTAAATAATACAATATATACTGTCACTAACTGGCTTTAAGGATTGTGATTTGTTATCGCTATATAGACCTTTCAAGTGTATGCATAATCTCGATCAGCCAGCACTACTTACTTAACCACTATATCGATTTACTACTATTGAGAACAACCATACTCCACCATCAATATGTTCAAACTTTCACACAATTCGAATAATATTAGGAACTCTAATACAAATATAATTTAGTCTATATTTTACAATTTACTTTAAGACCAAATATGAATGTAAACACACACTTCAAGCTCTTTTTGTTAGGAGCCTTCAGTTTATAGTGTTAAGAGCATATTGCATTGGTAAAGCTTCTACTTCAACTTGTAGACATAATAATGAGGTGGATATATGAACGTTAAATAAAACATTATAATATAGAATAGTTTAGATTAGTTTAATTGAACCATGGGGTTGAGTTTTCAACTTAACAATATCAAACTTCCCAATGCAGCTCACTGGGACATTAAGTCCCAATAGTAATAGAGTTCAAAGTATTATAAATAGCTTTATTTATTTAAAAAGGTAACCTATTAAAATAGATATAATTTGTTTTGCAGATCTGTGTATATGAACTGTAGATTGCTTGTACTTAATTTTATGATAATTAACCTATTCCACACGTAGAATTCTAATTATTTACCTATAATTGATTTCTCCAAAGTGCATCGTCTAGCAAAAACTATATAGATGTCATTCAATAAGAGCAGAGAAATAAATGAGCAAAAACTGAAAGAAGCACTAAATATAAAATATGTCTAAAAGCAAAAAAGTTAATTACTAACTTTTTTCTGTTTAACTAGCTATACATTTACTATAGAAATAAAAACTCTAAAGTAATTAAAGTGATTAAATTAAACTGTGGGAAAATTGCGGTGCACTTTAATTGGAATAGAAACTGTTTTAATTGGTTACTTTATGGGTTTATAATAGCTACTGTAGCCGAAAACGCTTCTTCCGTTGGTTTTCCATTTGATGGAAGATTGTGTTGCACACTTAACTGGAGTTCTATACATATAACTTTCTAAACATTAAATTAAATGTAGATGATGTTTGAGAGTAATAAGTCTGGTTATTACAATTTTCATTTAAGATTAAAGAAAATTAAAGTCATCAAATTTAAAAACTTTTCAGAAATTAGAAACTAACATTTAGTTAATTAAAGGATTCGGTGTTTTATTGTAATGAAACTGCAAAAAGAAAAGTATCTATGTTATATGGTATATGGTTGTTGTATGTAGTGACTGTGTATATAAGGCAGTGGGTCAGAGTTACACTTAAAAGTGAAACAGAGTTCGAAATTAAAAAAAAAATAAATTAGAGTAATATATAATGGAAATAATTTAAAATGATAATTGAACATTTGAAAATATTATCAAAGAAAGCAGTAGCATTCAACTTGACCTTGTGTATATCTCAGTTAGAAAAATATATTTACACAAAATATTTTACAAAATTTATTATATAAATGCAGTTAATATTTATTAACAAATATTAAATTTTAAATAAAAATCTCAAAGTAAATGCCATAGACCTAAAAATATCATGCATAATTTTGCATACGAAAACTGCATTTCAGTCCGGGTTAACTGCATTTGCATTTCATGTGTCCACAAATGCCACTCCATTTCGTTATTTCACCGATAGTTTCAGGCACAGCTCAGCACTTGGACATCAAATGGCGCTTAAGTTGCATTTTATAGGGAATTTAAGTTTTGAGATTTTTTTAATTTACCTTGAGCCCCAGCACAACTATTGTGTCTTATCTCACAGAGTTTTAAGCATTCGAAATCATTTCGTATGCAAAATGTGAAGTTTGATTTATGGCTTAAAATGTGGTACTGCCGCAATTCGAGCTTCATTTCAGTTGTTGCCGATCATTTCTTTGTCAACTACAGTTGCAAAATGCAGCAGCAACAGTTGATGGCAGCAACTACAACATTGCCAACCAACAACCGACCGACTGTCAACCAACCAAACTGATGCGTGTGGAAAGATAAACACTTTGACAATTAATCAAATGTGTCATAAAATCATGAACGATGCCATCAAAACAATTCAGACAAAATGAGTTATAAATATAAAAAAAATTTGTATCTACAAAAGCACAAAAAAATCGAATTATAAATGAAAATAAAAAACTTTAAATAAGATTTAAATGTGTTTATAAGAAGACAATTTATGTGCGTGGTACTTGGCTCAAAAGAGCCAAGAGTAAACGAAGTAGGCGAGGTCAATGAAGCTGTTAATGCGTGTGAAATTGTTAGCGTCTTTGCGACTTCATTGCGAAATTGTATCTCAAGTTCCAACCGACATCTGTAAGATGTTCAACGTATATAAGAAACAACAACAAAATAATTGTTGGCAAAATATGCACAGACTTTTCCTGTCCATTTACTAAAACATTTTATCTCGTTAGGAATCTGTGAAATATTTTTGTAAACAAATGACCGAACATTAAAATATTTAAATTACTTTTTATTGTTAATAAATTGGGCAAATGAACTTCATTGACATGTGCTAATATTTACTTTATTTATTATCTTTTAGTTAAGTAAATATACTTTAAAATTAATGTCATGTTTTTTGTAATAATTCACAGTCTAATATCACAAAATAGGATATAAAATAATTTACTTAAAAAAAAACTTAAGGGAGCTTTTTTTAATATTTGGTTTTTAAGTTGGCAACACTATTTTTATAGATCACCACTTATGCAACTCAGGGCTGATTTATATTCAGTACGATTTATTATTTTAGCTTTTGGGGTGGATTAACTTCCGCACGATTTGATTCGACGAAAGTTCAATATTCATTCAGCAATTAACAAAATACACAAAACAATGTACTGTTTACTACGGTTAATAGTGTACGGGTGTCATGGAATATTTCTTTAAAAACGAAGACTAAAAGTCAATGGAGCTCAATATCGAGCATGTCGAATGAGTTTTGTCTTCAAAAGTGCATTAAGTACCATCATGATCATGTGATCTGACAACACAACACTTCATTGTAAGAGAAACGTTGGTGTAAACGGAGCAGATAGCATCCATTACAGGTAATGTTGGTAAATTTGAACTTTAAAATGTAACCTTTCTGACACTCACCTCTTACAAAATTATTCTTTATAATATATATCATATATATATGTATGACAAAATTATAGTATATTTAAAATCCAAAAACATTTAAAAAGGTATATATATATATTTGTTTTTATTTTCTTTTTTCTCAAGCTCGTGCTTCGATTGCTCTTAAGTATATAGATATAGTATATGTAAAATCTTAATAAAGGTATACCTGCTTAATAGATGAGCTCAAACCTTTGCATACGTTAACAATACAACAATATTTTGTTAGAGTAGAAATGTACTTATCCAACAATTTTATTTAATAAAACGACTAATTTAGTATAAAAATATCGACGTAGATTAACACAAAATGTGCCCCATACACTGGGCACTACAAATGCAAGCACCGCATAGAACCATAGTACTATGGAAAGCAAAATTTACTGTAGGCTGTGATTATCGTATGAGAACATATTAAATGCAGAGGCGTCTGGAGAGATATGCTGCGTCTGGCCGAAACCTGGTAAAGGGTTGTTATGACTAATTAAGCAATATAGGTATTTTTAATAAATAAAGTTTGAAGCTTTTAAGAAATCTAACTATCTTCCCTCAGCCATAAATAGCAAACTTATTGTCTGTCGAAGATCTTGCGAGAAATCAAAGCATTATCATTGATAGTAGACAGTAACCACTATAGGATAAGTAACACACAACTTGAATGTAAAGTTGTATTTGAGCTTGTTTTATATGATGTATATGATGTATTGAGCACTCTATGATGTACTTAGTCTTAAGTGTACTTTTACAACAACTGCTAAAAAATTAGCAGTTATGGAAGCAGAACCAGTCTACTTTGAATTATTCAAGTTAAAGGGCGAGTCCTCGATTGACTAATCACTGCGATGGATGTGAGTGATAAGAGCGGCTATGAAACAAAAAATGATTTACAGGAGTTTGGAATCAGCCAGTTGGAACTCTAAAAAGTGCCTGTTACAAATACTTGAATATATAGATAAGTAAATAAATATGGTTATTGTGTATAATTATATGAAATAAATTGAAGTAATTCAAACCTCACCAATAGAAGTATATAATTAATTTCAAAATAAGAAAAATTAAAAAAGTAAAAGCTTAATAAACTATGTATTTAAACTGATGTATACTATTTATTTTATGATCAACAAATATTAATAAAAAAAAAAATTAATAAGAAATAATTGACAAGCAATTTTATGCGCAATCATTTAATATGTCAACTATATCTACTTATATCTTTTAATTAAAATAATTGACTATCTTACTAAATATTTAACTATCTCAAGTAAGACTATTAAAAAGTACCGTTTTTAATTTTTTATAATTAAAATAAAATTGAATAATAAAAACTAGTTTAACAAATATTTAAATTACAATCATTTTATTGTGTCCATTTAGTCGTTGTAATACTTTTTATTAGACAATTAAATAAATATTTTATTTTATTTAATTTAAAAAAGCCGTCGACATAAAAACTTAAATTTATAAAAGCTATTAAAGCAGAGATGTCATCAGTTTAGAATGAAATTGCCAAATTTATAAAATCGTAGAATAAAAATTGTGTATATAATTAATTATTTATAAGATTATTTGCATAAAAACACAACAGAGCAGATAAATTAAAACTAAAATCAAGATTAATTAAGAATAAAGAAATCAATAATAGAATGATTTTGTAAGAGATATTAAACAATAGAGCAGAACTAAATCACTAAATTATACAACTTTGACGATGTTTCCGACTTCTTGAATATTTTTGTAAACCAGATTGGAACTCTGCTTTGTTTTTATTTAAAATTGAATACAAGAAGAAATATGGTTCCCAAGATAGGTTTACGAACAAAAGTTAGAATAAAGTTTTGTTAAATGATTAGATTTAATAATTGTATGAATTATTGAAAATTATTTATTATAATGATATAGTTGTTTACTTGTCTCATTCAAAGAACTGAGATGCCTTTTAAAAATAATATAAATAAGTACTATACGGGCGGATTGACTTCTAAATATCTCATCAGACATACATATCTTGGGATATGCCTTAACTGCAGAGCTATATCACACAACATTGTCATTCTGTACTATTACTTCTTATTCCAAATCTAAAGTCAATTTATTTAAAATATCATTTTCTTTTAATAATTATCAATTTTAATAATTTACTTTTCTAAATAATACATGTCAAAACAAGTAAAAAATTATACAAAATAGAGTATTACACCCGTTTATATGGTCCTCGCTCTAGATCTGACGATAATTGATGTCTCTATATGTTCTATATATTTATTTATTTAATTATTTATAAATTAATACTCAAATAAATTTTTAATTAGGGAATTAGACTACTAGGTCCTTTGCTCTGATATCCTATATATATCCTACTCTATGCCTGACTTTGAGTGGAGACCCTAGCGACGATTTAACGTGATCTAATACGCTTAATAAATACAGACTCTTTAGCTTAAATACTGAAGATGCTGATTCCTCTGGAACCATTTAGGCTTGCAATTGTTTAACATGATGATCCGATACTCTATTAATATCAAGAGCTGGATGAAATTACAATGCACAATTTTTAAAATAGTATTATATATGATGAGTCTTTAGTTCTTTAAAAACATAAAGGTTGTTATATTCAGAGAAACCAAAAAAAAACTAACAAAAGAAAGAGAGTTTGATACAGCTTTGACTCATTTGGTTAAAATACGATAAATTATTGCCTCTAGTTTGACAGGTTCAAAGTTATAAGACTGATACTTGTAGTTCTACAATTATATATAGACTTATAAAATCAAAGAATTTTTTGAAAGAACACTAATGAAGAGTATTTAGTAAGTATAGAAACTTTTTTGACGCTGTGTTACGATTCTGATGTGTACACTTTAATAAAAGTGTAAATGAAATAACTCATAGTAAT